TTCCAGGAAGGCTGGACCCAGATGCCATCCCGGGGCCCAGGCACTTCGTTCGCGGCCTCCTTGCTCTGGACGTGGGCTGGGGGACGCCCTCGCCAGCCTGTGGCCGTGCATCCTGTCCTGCGGGTGGAGATCGTACCAGCCACATCCAGGACACTTTTAGTAAAAGGCGACTTTGTTTTAGATTCTCAGTGAACTGACAGAGACCTGTGAACAGTCATACGGCGCCCAGCCAGTCAGGCAGGAACGGGGCCCTCGGGAGCTGAGTCCAGACAGGGCCCTGCCTACTTAGGAGGGTCTCAGACGGAGGGGTCTGGCGTCACCTCTCCAGGAAGCTTGGCAGGCGGGAGAATCCGACCTTCCGGCGGGGCAGCTGCAGTGTCCGTATGGCCCAAGATGTCCTAGTTTTAGCTCTTGGACCAACAGTGTGGTCGGGGCCCTGAAGGAGGGACCTCCCCCCCCGAATGTGCCGGGCACTCGCTGCCTGCCCCACCCCCGCAACAGTGCACTCTACCCGCGCGGCCTTGCAGGTAGACCCCGACGTACTGCATCGCCCGGGCTCCCCTGCAGGCTGGATCGGGGGGGGGGGGGCAATCAGAGGCATCAACACACGGCTGGAGGGCAGGAGACGAGGGAGGTTGGGTTCTTCCGGGCTCCTGCTGCCCCAGCACCGCGGCTGCACCACACTCACCCTTGCTCACCGTGGGGTGCCCCTCTCCTGGCCCCTCCCCCGTGAACGGTCCCTCCACCCTGGTCTCTTCCATTGGCCCATCCAAGCGGGTTTCTGTTTCCTGCGGGAACACGCATTCTCATGGCCGGTGGGAAAATGTTAAGACCAAATCTGTGCCTCACCCTCTCCCGCTCGCCCTCCCTCCTCACGGCCAGGATGAATAAAGGCAACTGAGTCGGTTATGAACCCTCCCACCCAGGACCTAGGACACGGGCTCTGGTCACCTCCCCACCACGTCCACCTTCCTGGGACAGAGCTGAACTTTGTACTCACTGTCATGTGCCCACCGTGATGTAGACCCTGGGCTCGAATCCACATCGGGCCATGTGCCCCTCGTGTGGTCTGCCCAGTGCAGTGGGCACACGGATGCCGTTGGAAGAGGCGAACCCTCAGTCCTGCCCAGGCCTCCCACTCCCACATGGATGGCACCTGCCTGACCATGGAGAGCCCCAAGTCTGGGCCCCCTCAGCAAAGAACCCGTGGATAAGGACAGGTGTGGTAGACACCTTGCCGTTTAGCTCTGCAGCCAGATTTTTCAAACCCCCTTGAAATGTGGATCCAAAGAATTTGACTTTTCCAACAAACACACGCTCTTTCTTCTTAAATGGCAAACCTTGCTTATTATCATGTTTGACTCTGTGGAGCAGCCCCTACTCGGTGGAGGCAAGATGTTTCGAGCCGCCATGAGGACGGAGGTGTACAGAGTCGTGGCTTTCGCTTGAGTACAGCCCACTACTGAGAGCGTCACCCACTTTTATGATGTTAACATTAGTCTACCAGTGTCTGGGCAGACGGTCTGGCTTTCAGCTGTAACAATAACATCACATGTGGCTCATTCTTTAACCCACACACGGAAATACGCTGACCGCTCTCCGTGAAAGGGTAGAGACCACACATGGTGTCCTTCTCAGAGAGATGGGACTAGATCCGAAAATGGCAAAGCACATCCTGTTCAGGTTCCGGGAAACCTTGGGGGGCATCTGAGACCCAGGAGGGCCGTTAGCTACGGCTCAAGAGCCAACGAACATCAAAAGCCAAAGCAAAAGGCCTTTGAGAAGTTCTATCATGGTAAAAGGTGTACAAATAAAGGTCTCAATGATGGTGTATCTTCAAGATTCTTGGAAGCAAACCCCAAATTTTCCCGGGCTTGAACGATATAGAAAAAGAAAATCTTTCTGAAAATATCGATACCTGTGTTTGTTTGAAAGGATTCAGCGCTTGATCCGAGCTCATCTGTCCATTTTATATGCAAAAAAGATGAATTTCTGAATACAGACACATGCACGTGTACCAATACATGCGTACACACATATACCCATGCGTATGTATTACTACACGCTTACGTATTTATCATTGTACGTTACACACCCGCCGTCTCCCCATCAGGACCATTATCACCAGTGCACTCATCAGTGTGTGTAATGTGATCAGTGTGTGTCGGGGCGGAGGGGGGTGTTTCACTGAGCTTGAACCAAACCCCTTTTCAGAAGACAGAATCGGTTCCCTTTGTTTAGATGGGAGCATGGAAGTGTACCTCCAGATTGCCTGAGAGCAGAATGGTAAGGTTGCATCTGGTTTACACTAAATACAGAGGGGAGGGGTGCCTGGGTGGCTCAGTCGGTGAAGCGTCCGACTTCGGCTCAGGTCATGATCCCACGGTTCATGGGTTCGAGCCCCGCGTCGGGCTCTGTGCTGACAGCTCAGAGCCTGGAGCTGCTTCGGATTCTGTGTCTCCCTCTCTCTCTGCCCCTCCCCTGCTCGTGCTCTCTCTGTCTCTCTCTCTCAAAAATAAATAAACGTTAAAAAAGTTGTTTTGGAACCCGTGACTACAGCTGAGTCACTGTAACCGCTGTTTGGACTCCTAGATGCACAGGTCCTCTTTTTCTTCAGCAGAAGGGACGCTCATGGGTTGTTCCGCTTCTGCAAAGTCTGTCACCTGTCCATCCCCTCAGCTTCCCAAACCAGATGAGTGACGGGATTAGGTAACCCAAGTTCTCTTCATGTAAGTATAAACTCTCTTACAAAGCATATATATACTCCTTCCTTTTTTTATTCCTGCGCCATAAACATAATGTTTACATTATACTTTTTGAAACTGTGACTCTAAAATACCATCCTTTAAAAATGGCAGTAGCAGGTTCTTGGCTTCTCCAGAAAACAGTCATCGTAAATTGACAAAACACATGAGATAGCAAATCAAAGCAAAAGAGGAAGCATTAAAAACATAGCATATACAGTGGAGCGTCCATCAGTGCTCCGGCAGCACCCACCCCCGGAAGCCAGAGCCCTGGAGATGCTGACCGGCTCCCACATATAACCCCTGACCCCTCTCTCCTGTTACACTGTTTGCTTAGCCCCCCAGGAACCCAGTGAACCAGTCACTGAGAGCTTAATGAAGAGACAGCTTTATTCACAGAGGCTGAGACTTTGGGATAAGAACATACCCGAGCCAGGCTTTGCACCGCACTGCAGGTTAATCGCAGCGAGCCTGGACCCCAACGATGGGACCTCATCAAAGTTCTTCAAACCCAGGGAACTCTGCAGCTCACCGAAGTGTTCCCACCAACCCGGGTAGAATGTTCTCGAGGAAACGGACGCATCGGGAGCACACGGCTTTAAGAATAAGTTCTCGGGAAGCCAACTCTGTGCTTACTCATCATTAAATGATGACGCTTGTCTGAACTATCCTTTTGACCCTATGAACCACCAGGCTCTCCTGTTGTAAAGTCTGCGTTCATTTTTATATAAGTCCCGGAAATCGTTTTCAAAGTTATTTTGGAGATCTATTTCAGTCTACCTCCAGGACTCATGACTTACTGTGCCTTTGCCCACATTGGAGAAAATTAAAGTAACCTGGAGGCTCAGAAAACCCAGTTTCCCACCCAACACAACCCAAAGAGGGAGACTGTAGGAGTAAGACGCACTTTCCGAAAGCTCCAAGCTGAGCTGGGCTGTAAAAATCTCCATTTTCTTAACCAGATCTTTGTTGCAGAACACTCCCTCTCCACCCCCGCTTCCTGCTCCCCTCCCCCCCCCCAGATTTCCAGTCACCCCCCCACAAGGTGTTTATTTAGCTTCAGGCTCTAGGCCCAGTGGGTAGAGGCTTCGGGGGAAAGTGTCTGAAAAAATCCTGTCCTTTGGGGTCCAGAGAGGCACCCTCCAGCAGATGTCAGAAGATTCCTTCTCTCTGCCCGGCATGACTCACCTCTCCCCATATCTGCTTTTTTGTGTGAGTGTGTTTCATCCAACCTTGTTGAGGAAAAGTGGTCCTTTACTCCACGATTCTGGAAAATGTAGCAAAACCCAAACCTAGAGCCTGAAGAAAGCATGCAAATGGAATATCTTCTCTTGTCATAGACACCCTCCCCCCATCACACACTTCCGGTGTCCCCTGCTATCGTTTGATCCCTTAAAAACAAAAGCCACAAGACAGGACGCCTGCTGAGGTTGCTAACACGTCCCGGAGATGATGGGAACTGACTGGCCAGCTATCCTAACGCAACAAAACACTATTATACAGTGAGCGCTTTCTTAATAGAGGCTGTTAACATAGACTTTTCACAGGGCCGTCATTGTAGTAAAAAGGGTCAAGCATCTAGCCAAAGAATATAGCATATTCCTTTTGCTGTCTAGAAAGAAAAAGAGAGAGAGAGAGATTCTCTATTTAAAACAGAAGTGTGGTTTCTTAGCTGCAACCTGGACATTAGTCTTAAATCCTCGCCAGGCCCTAGATCTCCTAAAAAAACCTGAAACACTTCGGATGTCCCCACAACTGGACTTCAGGGACAAGCCCAGCTGGGAACACCCATCCCCCCCCTCCCCTGATTCACAGCCACGCCCTGGGCCACGGGGCCAAGGGAGCCGCACAGACAGGTAGATGGAGGTTCTCTCTGAAGCCACCTTCACTGCACCTGTGGGTCCTGCTGTCCAGTTGTCTGGGCCTCGCCCTGAGCTGGGCAGGGGAGGGTCAGACTGCCCTAAGGTCAAGGAATTCTCCCGCTCTCTCTGTCGGAGGTCTGAGACGCCCAAGTCCTCGCGGGGCAGGGTCTTTTAAATCTCCGAAGGTGCTCCGGGTTCTGGGAGAGTCCACCTCACCTTGGAGGAGGCGGGAGACCCTGCCCCCCTGGGCGCAAAAGTTGGTAACACTCCCCGGGATCCACACGTTGCAGAAGAAAAGATGTTTAAAAACAACAACAACCGTGACTCCTTCCCGCTGGCGATGGGACCCCTGGCTGCTCACAAGCTCAGACCAGGGGAAGGAACCACCACAGCGTTACTGGAAGTGAAGCACCGCGTCCGGAAGCTGCAGAGGGAAATACGAGAGGAAGGGGATCCCGAGCTGGTAAAAGCCGCCCTGGACGTGCGGGTCGAGCATCAGGGAAGCGTTGAAAGGCGGGCGGAGGCTCGCGGAAGTGGCCAGAAGCGAGGCGCCCAGACAGCTGCGGGGCCCCGGCTTGGCGCCCCCGGGGGGCTCGGCCCCTCCCGCGGGCTCCCGGCCCTGCCGTCCCGCCAAGATGCTGTCTATGCTGAAGCTCTTGGACTTGCCGGCGCTCTTTGGAGAGCTGTGGGAGGCAGGGCGCGCAGGGGACCCCGGGCCATCCCCCGTGCGCGCCGGCTGGCCCGTGGCCAAGGCCGCCCCTGCGCCCTGGACAGCGTCGCCCACGTCCTCCTCCGGGGACAGGGGCGCAGGCCAGTGCAGGGGCGCCGGCGGAGAGGCGCCGTCCCGGAGGGGCGAGGGGCGCGCAGGCGCTCCCTCCCGCCGCGGGGTCGCGGCGCCCCGGCGCCCTGCCCCGCTTCCCGCCCCGGGCTGCGGCTCCTGCGTCTCCGCGCGGGCCCGCTTGGCCTCCGGGGCCCCTGGGCCCGGCTTGGGCTTCCTCTTCCGGCGCCGGTAGTTGCCGTTCTCGAACATATCCAGGCAGCGCGGGTCCAGCGTCCAGTAGCTGCCCTTGCCCGGCCGCCCTTTCTCGCGGGGCACCTTGACGAAGCAGTCGTTGAGCGAGAGGTTGTGGCGGATGCTGTTCTGCCAGCCCTGCCTGTTGTCGTGGTAGAAGGGGAAGCGGTCCATGATGAACTGGTAGATGCCGTTGAGCGTGACCCTCTGCTCCGGCGCGTCCTGGATGGCCATGGCTATGAGCGCGATGTAGCTGTAGGGCGGCTTCTGGGGGGGCTCCGCCCGGCCCGAGGCGGCCAGCGCGGCCGCGGGGGCGAAGGCCACAGGCAGCCCGGGTCTCTCGGGGCCGGGGCCGTACAGATAGAGCATGGGCGAGGCGGCCAGCGCAGGCAGCCGGGGACCGAAGAGGTGGCTCATGGCGAGCGGGAGCCGGCGCTGTGCTCCCCGCGACGCAGGCGACCCAGGGGCTTAGGGACTGCGCCCCGCGCCGCAAGGGCCCTCCCGGGGAGCCCGTGCTGCTCCTGCCTCCCGCTCCGCCGCTCTCCCTGGCCGCTCCGTGCTCTGTCCCTTCATGGCTTTAAAAATGTTAAATAATTGTTGTAAGTTTGCTATTATATGTTGACTTAGCGCTGGAAAATAAATTGTCTATGATAAACAGTCGTTGTGCGCTCAGCCCACCCACATTAATTAAAATTTCATTGCTGAAAAACTCCAAGCTTTTCCCTCCACGTGTCTTTTTGATACCAGCCAATCGGTTTCGGGGCTATTCCTTCATTTGTTTATAGAATTAGTCTGTTGATAAGTCCGCCCACCCAGGTTGAATCAAGCTGTGTTTATTTGGAAAAATTTCCGGGCACCCAATATATAAACGCACTGATCTGATGTTTGAAATATCACGTCCACCCCTTGACGCTGTAAGCACACACAGTCAGTGAGGCAGGATGTGGACCGCGGTGGCTCCGAGCAGGGTCTGCCCGGCCAGGAAGGAGAGGTGGAGATGGGCGGGGGGCGCAGGGGTGAGTTTTGCCACTGGCCTGGGGGAGCCCAGTAATCCTGAGAACTCCCACAAAAGGTCTTTTCTTCTCTCAGGCTCCGTCAATGTGGAGTCGGCAGTATCTCATAAAAGCCTCCTGAGGTCTTTTCTTTCTTTCTTTTTTTTTTTTTTTCTTTTTTAGATATTTGGGTGGGGGGAGAGGAGTGTCCGTCTAAGAGCTTTGGAAGTCTCTCAAGAAGAGGAGGCAGCTCTCCTTGGAGGAACCCTGGGGGCCCCAAGCCTCTACCTCCAGGGCTCCCTGGGGACCTAAAAGGGGACTCCTGGATCCCAGCTTCTCCTGAAGCCAGGGCGGCGCACGACCACTGGGGCGCTGGAGGCGGCACGGGTACCTGGCCCACAAGCTTGGCTGAGGGTAGTTTCAAAGTAAACCCGCTTGGAGAGTTCAGAGGGGAGAAGCCAGGGTCCTCCTGATGGGGCTGCAGGCTGGGAGCGCCATAAAAGGGGACTCTGGCAGCTGGCGCGGGAGAGCTGGTATTTGTGAACGCGGGTCTCTTGCTTTCTATTCTGCGCTTTCCTGTTTATAACGAGGAGGGGTTATAACAACTTTACAAGTGCACGCAGCTGGCCCGTGATTACATTAAGCGTTTGGGAAGCCTGCTTGCTCTCCACCCCCCCACCCACCCACTCACCCTGGGGTGTAAGCACCCCCACCCCCGTCTCATTTTACATTTGGCCACGTCATGGTTTGAATCAAATCACCCTGAATGATGCCGATTCCGAAGGAGACCTCTACTGATCCGGGCTGGCCAGCCGCCGTGGGGGTGAGGCCGGGGGCATTCGCGTGACTAGTTCCTGTTTATGATCTCTGCTGAAAATTTTTTAAAAGGAAAAAAAAACCCACTGGGGATAACTGAATTAGCGTTTCATTGAGTAAAAGGCGTGGGGATGCCAAAGAAAAGAGGGAGGGGTGAGGGCGCAGGTGGGCGTAGGAATGGACCACCAGCGGGCTCTGCGGGCGGGGGCCCTACTGCGCTTGGGGCGGGACATGGCGGCGGCTGCTGTCACAGAGAGGCGGCACCTGGTTAGGAACGGCCAGGTCACCCCTGAACAAGGGACAGACAGGAGAAGCCCACTCCAAAATGGGGAAGTCATAAAGTAACTCTTAGGTGTGGGGTTCCCGATAGACAGCAGGGCAGTGGGGAAATTCGACAACACGCAAAAGGAAGTCAAAAGCGGGGTCGAAAAACCGGTTTGGGTGCAGGGGCGGCTCGAGGGAGCGCCACGCCAGGCACTGCGACTCCTCCGGGCCTCCCTGCGGGGCGCCGCATTGCTGACTTCAGCCAACCGTCCAGCCCAGCCTGGCTCCGGCCTAGGTGTCGAGGGCGGCCCTCCAACCGGGAGGGGGAGGGGCGCGGTGCTCTCTGGCTCCCGCCGGAGCACCCCTCGCCACCCCGAGGTGGAAGCGGAACCTCCACGCCCGGGCTTATACAACTCGCGGCTCCATAGGCCCCGGGGTCACCCAGCCTCTCCAAGCCGGCGCGCCCCCGCCGAGCGCGCCCCCGCCGAGCTCAAGCTCGCGTGTAGCCGGAGGTCCAGCCGCAGCGCCCGCGCTAACAGATCCACAGGAGACCGACGGGGGTCACGGCCCACCCCTCCGCGCCCGGAGCCCTCCCTGGAGCTTGCCCGGCACCCGAAGTCCAGCGCGCACATCCCCGCCTCTCCGCAAAGGCGCGTCGCCGCAGCGCTACTTCTAAACTCCAAGGCGCATCCGAGCTTGAATTTGTAGCATCACAAACACCGCCCAGCTGGGCCGAGGGCCGGACGCGGGCGGAGACTGCCAGGCTGGTGGGCGGGGCACTGATAGTCAAGGAGGAAAGTAAAAAAAAAATATAAAATAAAATAAAATAAAAACAACAACAAACCCAAGTTCTAGGCGCGGTCTGGAGAGGCACGTCCCGCCCCGCGCGCTTGCAGAGCGTCCCGGGGAGGTGGAAGCCCTGCGCGCGCCCCAGCCCCGCTCCCGCGCGGGGCGAGTCCTGGGCTCCGGGGCGCCGGGTCTGTAACTTGAGCCTAGGAGGGGCCGCTGTAGGAAGGCGCCCCTCGCTCGGGCATATTTCCGGGGAGTGCAGGGCCCGAGTCCTTGGCGTCCGGGCGCGGATGCGCCCTCGTGCGGAAGGTCGGTGTGATGGGGCCCGTTCTGAGGCCTGGTAGGCGGTGGGCAAGGGAGCCTGGGAGCGGGCCAGGCTGACTCTGGGAGCCGGGGGAGCCCCGTGGGGACACGAGAGTTCTCCCCAGGCTCGGGGTTTTCACGTCGCCCCCAGACCGCGTGCTTCTCTGAAGTCAGTGCCAGTCTCTCCCAGCCTGGGGCAAAGCCCCGAGGTTGCCAGGGTGCCCGGAGGCTCCTGGAAGGACCTCGGCGTTTCCTACTCTGGGGCCTCAGCAGAAATCGGGGTCCTCCCACCAGGCAGGACCACAGAGGCCAAGGCTGGGGGGGCGGACAGGAGGCGTGGCTAGCCAGCCGTCCCCAAGGGCAGCACCCCTTCCTCTGCTCTGAGAGTAACTGAAAAGCAGACGCTGAGTTCAGGATGGTCTGTGTCGCCTTTCCACACACGGGCATCACTTTTTTCTGTGTGACCACAGTCGACCAAGTCTATGTACGTGAATGAATGACTCTATCATACCTGCAGTAGGTGTGGAAAGAGGGTGGAAAGATACAGGACCCGCTCAGCCCCGTCACCTACCGACGTCCGGAACACGCTGGAGACGGTGGTGCCGAGGGGCGACACTGACGACCAGACTGTCTCCAGCGGTGCCGTGTGCGGGGCCCCCTCGTGAGGGCCCCCTCGGCCACTCACTCTCCTACTGGCTTTAAGACACAGAAGTCCTCCTTGCCCCCATTCTGCAGACCAGGACACTGAGGCCAGGAAGTTAACAAGAGGAAGTTGTTGCAGCCGGTGACCGGCCCCATTATAATAGGGCTGCTGTGCGTGGCTGCCCAGGGCCCCATGGGAGCTCTCTCCAGAACCCTCACAGCATCTACGAAAGACGGAGGGGCTGGATTTGCCCATTTTACAGATAGGCACCAACATGCCAGACAACGGAGGCCATAGATAGCAGAACAGGGGCTTGGAATGTACACGCTTTCCTGCCAAGGTGGGTTCTCTGAGGCCTGATGTCCTCAGGTGTCCTAGAGGCTGGGCGAGGTGTGTCTGGAGCAGGATCCTGCTGCTGTGGGGGGGCCGGGGGGTGGGGCAAGCCATGAATGTAACGCAGCCGCTCTGCTGAAGCCCAGAGGGCAGGGCCGGGTTTTCCAAATTGCCGATTTCTTTAGAGCCCATGTTGTTCCCAGCAGGGATTTCAAGGGCCTAAGACGGGCAGTCGTCGGGGCCTGACGTACACAGCTCGCCGGGTCCAAAGAACCGCTGTTCTCCTGGCGTCCGGGTGAACCCCAACAGCCGGCCCTGAGTCCTTCCTGAGGCCTGGGGCCACCAAAGGACTTTTCCCGGCCCCGGGTTGGGTCCACGCGCCCTCAACAATCACCCTGGCTGGCGGTCCTGCCATGCTGCGGATGGGAAATGGGCCCAGAGAGCTGGGGTCGCGCGGAGCCTCCGCCGGCCTGCGTGGAGGCCCTCAGCCAGCGCGTGTGGATTCAGCTTAGAAAGGCTCCGTTGAGGAGGCTGCCTGTAAAAACAACACGCAGGCAGAGGGGGAGCCCCCCCCTCCGGGGCTGCTGGAAAGGTAAGACCCAGGGCCAAGGGCCACTAAGCCGGGGGTCAGAGGGGCCTCTCTGGCCTCCATGACCTCCAGCCTGGGTGGGCACACGGGCTGGGCTCAAAGCTGTACCCCAGGCTGGGGCAGCCCTCCCCGTGCCCCCCAACTCCGTTTCCTTAACAGGATCCGAGCGGCGAGGGGGCCTGTCTGTCTGCCAGCCCACCTCCTTCCCCCACCCCGGTGCCAGGTTTGTGCGCGCGCGCACAGCCTCGGGAGCTCCCCACCAGCCCGCCACCCGCAGAAGCTCCCCGCGCCAGAGACACACGTTGGAGAATCACACAGGCTGCGTCTCTCTGCGTTTGCTGTGAAGCAGGAAAGTTGCCGAAGCCCCAGAAAGGCTTGTGGGAACCCAGGCGCTGGCGTCCCACCCGGGCGCGGGCCTGCCTGCAAACTTCCTGGGACATCGCGTGCCCTCCCTTACGTGCCTCTGTCTGGAAGCAAGCATCTCAAGTGCCTTGGCGAGCGGAGCGGAGGCCATGCATTAAGGACGCAGGCAGGGAACGCATTTCGAGTACGCGGTGGCCCCGGCCCTGTGCGCCCGCTCGCCTGGAGTCCAGCCCCCCGCCCCGGGCCGCACCCAAGGCGTGAAACCTCAGGTGTCTATGTCTCCGTGCCCGGTGCCCACCGTGCCCACCGGCAGCCTGAGAGCCAGGAGCGTCCCGCCTGGGATGACACAGGCGCACGTTCCCTGAGGCCCCAGACACAGGTGCTGAGACCCCAGCACGTTCTGGAAACAGTTGGTTCTCCGTGTTCATTAACTGTCTCTTCCCAGGTCTCTCTTTCCACCCACTTCAGGTTTATGGTCATCAGTGATTCCCACCAGGCCAGCCCTGGCCAACACCCATCCAGTGTTCTGGATTCGGGGTGGGTGTGAGGAGGGAGAAGGCAAGAACTCAGACACCAGGGCGAGTTTTAACGTGGGGGGGGGAGGGCAAAGGGAGTGTTCTGGGGAGTCTGCTCTCTCTGCTTTGAATGCAGCTTACAAGCCTCTCCCAGGCCTGAAGGCAACCCCAGGCAATCTTGGGGTAAAAGAAAGGAGATAGACCCCAAAAGATTTAGGAGCCAAGATCAAAGTTCACAGGACCCCAGGACATTTGCTCTTCCCTCTCACTTCTGACCTTCATTCCTTACCAGCAAGGTAGGAGAGTGGGGATAAGTGAGGGCCCGCAGCAGGAGCCTGGCTATGCTGGAAAGGAAAGTGCTGGGCTGCCCCAAACGCCCTTCCGCCCACCTGGTCATTTTACAGATAAGAAGACTGAGGCCAGGGAGGGGAGATGGTTTGTTCGCCCGGCACCATGTGGTCTTGGAATTCCTACGCCATTGCTCCAGCAGTTAGGGGACACATGTCACCGTGATCGGGGTGTGGGTGGGGACAGGCTGCTTGAACCAGGGGATGAGGACCACCTGGCCGCAGACCCCGCTCTGGCCGTGGGAGAGGGGCCTGGGCCGGGCCACACGAGACCTGTCCGTCTCCCCTTGAAAGCCGTGAGTGTGGGGCAGGTCTCGGAGTCTTACACGAGCAGAGGCTGCCCCAGCGGCAGCCTCCACGGGGCTGGGAACGTTCGGGAGTCTCGGAAGCCAGGGAGTCTTTCCCAGCGGCCTGTGTCAATCAACACTGGACCCCGGTTAGACCCGGTCCAGGCTGCCGCCGCCAGCCGGGCATCTAGGGTTAACGCTATGGGAACTGGCCTCTGCTGTGGTGCTGGGCTCGCGCCCGTTTTATCTGCAGCGGCTCTGAGCCCTGCCTGGTCCCGCGGTGTTGGATCAGGAAGGACCGTGGCTCTGGCTCAGGGCTGCGTGCAAACTGAGCTTGATGGACCTCAGAGCCCCCGCCCCGGAGTCCCAGAGCCTGCGACCAGCATCCCGGCCCTTCCATCCTCCACCTCCTTTCCCCTTTTCCTGAAAGACCCTGGGCCTCCCGAGGACCGAGCGGCCAAAGCAAGAGGAGGGGAGCGGATAGTGGACCAAGGACAGCCTGGCCCCGTGCACCCTCTTTGCGCACCGGACGCCAGACATGCCAGGGCAGCGCGATTGGCCCCGGGATGCCCCGCTGCAGCCTGCTGGGTCTCCCCACCCCGCGGGGCAGCAACAGGCGCCTGAGGCCGCTCCGTCCCTAGGCCCGAGTCCACTGGGGCTGCTGAGGCGGGAGTGCTGAGCCCAGCGAGTTCTGAGCGCCGCATCCAGCACGCAGGGCCGGCCTTCTGGGGAAGCTGCCCTGCACCTACCCTGGCGCCTGGGCCTGGGGCTCCGGAAGCTTTCGAGGTTCTGGGGCGTCCCAGTGCACCACGGCCTTATACACCCCTCCCCTCTGCCGCCTCCAGAGGCCTGGATAAAGCCCCAAACACAATCCCTCCAGCTTCCCAGGTTCCTAGGGAAACGGAAGGGCGCTCTGTGGCCTCTCCCGGGTGGGGGGGGGGTCCCTTCTTGCAGAGGGGCCTCCCCCCACGACAGAAGATCCCAGTGTGGTTTCAGCGGAAGCTCGGGTCCCACCAAATTCTTTCCCGTTTCTCTCCCCTTCATTTCCTGTGTGTCTCAAACCTCCGCCGAACTCGAGTCTTGAGGAGGACTCGCCTTCAGGGCAGACGCTGTGAAGAATCTGGGGAAGGAGAGAGCCGGCGGCAACATCATCTGGGGCACAGGAGCGAATCGGACCCAGAGTGAGAGCGCCGGAGCTGGGCACGGAGGGCCGGCCTCCACCGCCGCTGGGAGAGGGGCCTCCCTGCCTCCTCCTCTTTCCTAGCTGGCTAACCCAGCTCACTCACCCAAGGCAAGGGGGCCTGGGAGCCTGCTGCAGGTCACGCACCAAGCACCGGGCCCCCCGATCCCAGAGCACCATGAAAAGGAATAAAATGCAGCCTGTAAGTCTTAACCACTGGCCACCTCTGGGGCTACGGATCGAAAGAATCCGTGTTGCACATATGGGGAAATTTATTACGCCCACACCTCCCCCGTTCTGTTTTAGCATGACTTACTTGGAGACAAACTCCCATGGTTAAAACATCACAGACCCCGGTTATGTTCAATACCACGGCACCAAGTAAAGTCTTTTTGGAGAAATCATCGTCACCTGAAATGTTAAGTTCACAAGGAGCTTCGCTCTAAGCAAAGCACGGCTCACCTGACTTGGGTGGGAAACAAATCCCCAGCTTGGAGCCCTGGCCTCAAAATTCGCACCCAGACACCAGCAGGGGAGCTGTGCCTTGGGGCCGGTGAAACTGATAATAAAATCACCCCTACCCCCCACCCTCCGCCCCAGCCACACCCCACAAATGCTTTCATTGCTAGGAAATTTTTTTTTTAAAAGACAAGGTATCAAAATTGAAAAGGCAAATAATCTCCCTAATATTTACAGTCCTGGAAGAGTTGATAAATTTAGAACTCCAGAAGCATTGTAAATTATATTCAAAGGCCAAGGAGCCTCTACAGTTTTTCACTGCAATAGGGTAACGATTAGCAAATCCTATCGAGCAGTAAAGAGGGCTGAAATTCACCTCTGCACAAACCACCACCGGGAACGGCCGTTAAACGCTCCAGAATCGATCCCCTTTGGACCTTCTCCGGCCCTCTTCAAATTCTTTTCTGGAAAGCCATTACAGTGGGGAAGGAAGTCCGCATTTTAGGAATAACTCCCCCAGGTTCGTAGTTAGCTAATGAAAAACGCTGATCTTTCCCTTCCTTTGCTTCCTCAGTTGGGGATCACTGGACTTTGGGATGGAATGGTGGTACTATTTGTTTTGACAATTGGCTTTTCTTTTCTTTTCTTTTCTTTTTTTTGCATTTAGCAAAATGCCTTTACAGCGCATAACGTGACGGCACCCGGTCCTTCAGGCATCCGCGTCCAGCCAGGACTTTTGTCGACCGCCTAGGCCAGGGTGGGATCGGAACTCACGGAAAGTCCTTTCCGTCACTAACACCACAACAGGGGAGTGCCCCCAGTCCCCAGTGAGCATCTGTACACATCCCTGCGTTTACCCACCTGCGTAACGAGTATAATCAAAACTGGTGGATTTGCAGACACACCTTGTTTTTTAAAAAATGCGAGAACACAGATACACTGTCCGGACTTTGGGCAGAAAAACAACACGGGTTTATTTTAAGGTAAGTACAACAATGAAGACCACGTAAGACAAACACAGGTGAAGTTAAATTTTTAAAGGTTTTTTTTTTTCTTTTGGGAATGCTCAGGGAGGAATCTACTATACAAAACCATCACACTTTGTAAGTAAAAAGTATCAGATACTTGACTCCTTTAGCCGCCAACGACAACGACAACAAAATAAATTATTTCCTTGTTTTGTAAAAGACCTACCGCCGGGAAAAAATTTATGTCTGTTAAGTGTACTGGGGGGGGGGAGGGGATGTAAAAACCCCACTGTAGGCGTCTTAAATTTTCACTTTGGCAGTTAGAAATGGTTAGGCAAGATGAAAACTTATCCAGTGAACTCAACTTTAAATATTATATTAATGGCTCTGAACAGCAACAACACAATAGCCTGATTACAAATCCACACGTTTGTACAGCGCGGTTAGAGAAACTTAAAATTACACACAGCACATACTAATCTATAGAGACTTCCATAGGCCTATGGAGATCTCTACAGAGAGTCACTAGGGGGTCGCTCCGGGATTTGGTCCGTAACTTAATTTTTGGAAACCCCTGCTGGAGCGGTGAGGGCGACCATCCTGGAGGGCTGGGAGGGGGGCTCAAAACTCAGTACTCATCTCGCTGGGCCGCGTCCCTTTTACCGGGGGCTTCTTTCAGGATGTGGGACACGGGGCAGCGAATTAAAATTACCTGCAGCTTCCCAGGGGGCTGAGGCTGGCGCGCGCTCTCTGCTCCTGGGTCTGAGGACAAGGCCGGTGGGCGCACGTGGGCTCTTCCTGCGTCGGTGCAGCCCGAGCCGAGGGGTCGCGCGCGGGCCGCGCGGGTCAGTACTTGGTGCAGTCGTAGGAGTAGGGCGCGGCGTGGCGGTAGAGGGCCGCCGGGGACCGATAGGGCAGCTGGCAGCTCGCGTGGGTGCCCACCTGCGGCTCCCCCAGGGCCGAGCTCTCCATCCCCAGCCGGTGGGAGCTGAACATCTCCCGGACGTTGGGGAAAGTCTGCTGCTGGGCCGCGAACGTGTGGCCCGGGAGGGGGTTGAGGTCCCCGCCGTGATTGAGATACCAGGAGGCCGCCTGGGCCGCGGCGGGAGCCCCGGGCTGGGGCGCCGGCGGGGGCTGGGGCTGGGGCGGCGGCGGCGGCGGCGCCTGCGGGTGGTGGTGGCCGTGGTGCGGGTGGTGGTGGCCCGCGGCGGCGAGCGCGCCCTCCTGGCCCGCGGCGAGGTTGAGCGCGCTCAGGGGCGACGCGGGGCCGCCCGGGGGGTCCGAGAGCGCCTCGTCGAGCGCGGGCGCGACGCACATGTGCGCGGGCCGCTCGGCGCCGGTGTAGAGGCTCATGGCGCGCACGCTGCACTGGTAGCCGGCGGCGCCCGCGGCCTCCAGGCCCTGCGCGCACGGCTGGCCGTAGGCGGCGGGCGGCGCGGCCGCGTAGGGCAGCGCCAGCGGCGGCACCACCAGGCCCGCGCGCGCCGACGCGGGGCTCAGCTCGCCGCCCGGCGGCGACGTGCGCAGCGTCATGATGTTCTCCACGCTGAAGCCGGGCAGCCCGTTGGGCGCGCCCGCGTGGTGCTCGGGCAGCGAGCCGTCGGGGGAGCCCGCGGGCGTGGAGGCGGCGCTGCGCGGGCTGCCCTGCAGCGCGCCCTCGGGGCTCAGCGTCTCCACCTTGGTGATGACCGGCAGCGCGGGCGACGCCGCCTCGCTCTTGATCACCACCTTCTTCTCGGCCTCCTTGGGGGCGTCCGCTAGGGGGGGCGCGGCCGGGGCGCCCTTGGCCGCCGCCGGGGGCGGCTCCTGCAGGTGGGCCCGCTCCTCCTTCTCCTTGGGCACGTCCTTCTTCTTGAAGCGCCGGCGGCGCCGCAGGAAGCTGCCGTTCTCGAACATGTTGTAGGAGTCCGGGTCCAGCGTCCAGTAGCTGCCCTTGCCGGGCTTCTTGTCGTCGCGGGGCACCTTGACGAAGCACTCGTTGAGCGAGAGGTTGTGGCGGATGCTGTTCTGCCAGCCCTGCTTGTTCTCGCGGTAGAAGGGGAAGCGGTCCATGATGAACTGGTAGATGCCGTTGAGCGTGATCCTCTTCTCGGGCGCGCTCTGGATGGCCATGGTGATGAGCGCGATGTAGCTGTAGGGCGGCTTCACCAGGTCCTTGGGCGCCGCGGGCGCGGGGTGGTGGGGGTAGGGCGCGTAGGGGCGGCCGGCGCCCGCGCCGTACTGCTCGGGGTGGCCGGGGTAGACGCCCACGGGGCCGGCCATGCCGCCGTAGCCGCCCGCCGCGCGGTAGTAGCTCTGCTCGCTCAGGTAGGGCACCACCCCCAGGGCGTTGGGGTCGGACACGGAGTAGCGCGCCTGCATGCTGCGTCCGGCACGGCTCGCCGCCGCCTGCGCGCGCGGACCGCGGGGCAGGCCCTGCGAGGGCGAGAGGGAGCGAGGCGGCGGCGCGGGGGTGCGGGGCGGGGGGCCCCGGGCGCCGGGGAGCCTGGCGCGCGAGGCCGGGGAGGCGCCCGCCTGCGCGCGGAGCAGGGGCGCTCGGCTGTCAGCGGACCGGGCGGGTCGGCATCCTGGAGGGCGCGCCCCGGCGAGCGCCGCGCCGGCCCCCGCTCGCCCGCTCGCCCGCTTGCTCTCGGGCCCGGAGGGAGGGTGGCGGCCGGGGCGCGCGGCCGGGGACGCCGCGGCGGGGACGCCACGCGCGCCGCGGACCGAGACCGGCGCCCGCGTCCGCGCGGGCAGCGGGAAGGCGGCTGCCCCGCGCCCCCAGCGAAGAGGCGGCCCCGAGGGTCGGCGAGCCGGGGTCCAGAGCGGCTGCCCCGCCGCGCCCGGAAAAAAGAGGCGAAGTCCCTTTTAGGGATTGGGAAAAGTTTCAAAAGTCTCCTTGCCGAAAGCAACTTTTTACTTTCGTCCGGCCACGCCCCCTCCGGGGACTTTGCACCAATAACCCGGCAGCTGCGGGGAGCTGGCACCAATCAGGGCGGGGGGCGCCGGAATCCGGCGGCTCTAAGACCCAGCGCCGCGGAGCCAGACTCCGGCAGTTCAGCCTCCACTTGAAAAGACTTTTTAAAAAAAAAAAAAGAGTGATCGCTTATTAAAATTTATTCTAGTGTCACATTTTGGCTAATGGGCCCACATGCCCGGGCGTGGGGGCGGGGAGGGGGAGAAGCCCATGCTCCTGGGCGGGTGAAGTGAATTCGAAATATGAAATCGAATTGATGAATGTAGCCCAATATCTCCCCAAAGACCTTAGAAGTAGCAAAGACCCCGGGACTATTTTTCTTATTAATGAGTGATGAGGCGAATCATTAGATTTCCCAATTAGGGGGGCCCAGGTGTGATGGATTCAAAGCGCGTGCGCGGGGCTGGGATGCCAGGGGCTTCCGCGGGCTGCTGTCATCATCTACGCCAGTAATTAATCTGCGGAGTGTGCAGGTTCGGGGCGTCGGGAGGAGCCCGTAGCCGTTTGGAGGCAAATGACAGAGGCCGGATGAAAGTCCCCCCCCCGCCCCCGCGGAGGGGCGCAAGGGGGTGTCGGGGGGGCAGCGATTCCCGGGGGGGTTTAGCCTCCGCGCGCGCGGTGGCTTCGGCGCGTCGCCCGCGGCACCGCTTGCCGTTTTGTCGGGTTCGGGGGAAATCGGGCGGCGTCGCCCGCTCATCTCCCCGCTTCCCCGGCCGCGTAGACGCTCGCGGGCCCCCGTCTGCGGCTTCGCAGCGTCTCTCCCTTTTCCCCGGAGGTAAAGTCCCTTGACAACCGCCTCCCGCGCTCCCCGGAGACGGGACAAAGCGGCCGGCCGGCGGCCCGGGGGGGGGGGGGGGCGGGGGGGCGCAGGGCAGGGCGGGCTCGGGGCGCGGACGACGCCCCCGGCCCCCCGCCCGCCCCCCGCCCGCGGCTCGCCCTGCGCGTGATGTTCGTCTGGTTGGCGTCTGATCCGGTGATCTGGGCACCGGGGCTCCGTGGGAGGAAGGGGTGAGCGATCCCCAAAGGTCATGGCCCCCCCAGAGCGCCTACAGTCCAGATCCTGACCCGGAGCGACTCGAGGTCGTCGCCCTTTCCTCTGGGCACCCCGCAAAGTGAGCTTATTCGTGGGCTGAATATTTGTGTCTCCACCACCTCGGGCCATCGGATCGAGCTTACCCGCTTCCCCTTGAAGGGGAAGGACTCGCGAGAAGGGCTAAAGGCCGGTCAGAATTCTTCTGGAAGCCGCCCCCCGGTTGCGGGGGGAAGAGCAGAGAGGAAGCGTGTGCGGTTTCGCCCCCACCCCACCCCTCTTCCGACGCCGCTCCCTCGGCTCCCAGGAAGGGGGTGCGAGCGAATGCAGGGGTGCCGGCTTCGGAGGTGAGAGAAGGCGTGGAGAGGGCCCTTTCCTTCAACAGAGGAACAGAAGAAAGGTATTACGTGCGTCACCCATAAACGGTGATCCCTCCTGATAAACCCAAAATCAGAGGCAAAGTGCAAACCAGGTTCCTAGTTCCTTGACTGGTCCTACTTCTGAAACACCGTATTTTTTATGCGCGCTCTGAGTCTTTCTCTGACTCAATTTTTTTTTTTTTTTTTTTGCAACGAAGTAAAATAAAGTTTCCCAGCCCTCCGCTCACAGGTGAACGATTTGAGTGTTCCCCAGCCCACTTTCCCCAATAATGCCTTTTATTTTTTAATATCTTCAGCTCCAACTTATAAAGATTATATATATCTCTTCCTCCCGGACTGCCAAGCAGGCACCCCGATTTCTCACGATTTTACCAGAAATGCAAACTATTGATCAAGAAACACTCCTCAGTCTGTAGGCTTCCTGGAGAAATATTATTCACTCTGCTTTTGTGAGGTGCTTTAAAAAAAAAAAAAAAGCCTTATCACAGCACAGGGCAAAACCCAAAATAACTGTGGACCGTGGAAAATAGATTCAAAAATGGCAACTTCTGTCTGAGTTTGTATTTACAAGCGTGTCCAGGTTGAAAATAATGTCGTCTGGAAAGCACTTGGTTGAGCGGCCAAAATTATTATATTCCCCCCCCACCCCACCCCCAAAAGCAGGATTGGGAGGAAAGAAATCCTTATAATCCAGATAGAAAAGGTGAGAGAGACATTTTCCTTTGCCCGGGAGTTAGGTTTCTTCTCGCTCAGTAGGGCTCCGGGGGGGATGTTTGCACAGGTTAACAACACCCACACACCTGGACTTTGCAAACAGCATATTTCCGATCTTTTCTTTAAGCTGCCAGGGTATTTTGGGTTGGGGGCTTCTAATTCACTGCTGATTGCTTCCCCTCCTGATGCTGGAGTCGCGGAGCCCAGGGTGCAATCGGTCCCCCAGGGAGCCGTGCGTGTTACCAGAATGATGAGCGACGATGACGGCCGGAGATAGTCCGGTCACCCCCCCCCCCCCGTCCCCACCCCCTCCCTCCCTCCCGCACCTGGTCGCGGCGGGCCTGGGGTGTTGGCGCCATCTGAAGGCCAACCGGGGAACTACTCTGGAGAAGCAAAAAGAAACTCGGGCGCTCCGGTCGCCATGTAGGTGCTGCCACCGCGTGGACGCCCGTGAGCACTGCACGGCGGGAAGAAAAGCCTTCAAACACCAGTGAAGTCCGAGAGAAGCTGAAAGTGAAGCTGCGTGTGGCGCGTCGTTTAAGAAAAAGCAAAACATTTTCCATAGCTATGCAAGGCGTCAAGAACACGATCTGCGGGAAAACAAAATGTCTTGGAAGTTTCTCAGGAGCCAGAAAGCCTCTCTCGGGAGATTCCCTGAGGTTTTGAGCAAATAAAAGCCTCTGCCTCTCAGGTGGCTGCAAGTCTAAGAATTGCCGCCCGCACCCCCACCCCAGGGCCGCTGAACAAACTGCTTGTTCCTCTGTGTCTCCTCATGACAGCCATTCTCCTGCCCAAGGTGTGGCGCAGATCTCAGGGGATTCATCAGAAACAACGTTTGCACGGGACTGTGTGAGGGTGGCGTTGGCTTTAAGCAGAGCGAAAGTCCGAAGTACGTCTGCAGCTTCTGCTTCTGGGGCACGACAGGTAAGTCAAAGAGGCCACAAGCAAAAGGAGATTGTGCCTTCTCTGTTTCCAAGATATTTGTCCCAGGGCCCTTCCAAACTCTCCCCTTGGGCTCATGACACACCTTGGGTTTTCAGGCAAGGGACCTAAGAGAGGGCCCAGGCTTCCAAAATCGGCCTGGGACCTGCGGAGCCCCTGGGATGAGCAGATTCAACGCTGCTGCTTAAGAACCCATTGTCCTCCGGCTCCTCGCAATTATCGTGTTTTTCGGGACCGCAGGCGTGTCCCTGATGAAAACTCTCTGAGCCCATTTCACCGAGAGAGGCCTTTCTCAGAAGTGGAACCCGTATGACGTTGTGAAAGGCACAGAGTGACAGGAGAGACGGCCATCCTTGGTTGAAAGACGAAAGAAGACAGACAGCTAAATGCAGCCCTTGGTCCTGAATGGAGGAAGCGTCAAACGCAAATAAAGAAGCGACAGTTTTGAGAGTACCCGGGGACATTTGGTCTGGAGTGTGCATGTTAGAGAATAATCTTGTACCGGGGTTAAAATTCGCGAGTGCGGGGGCGCCTGGGTGGCTTAGTCGGTTAAGTGTCCGACTTTCGCTTAGGTCATGATCTCGCGGTTCGTGGGTTCGGGCCCCGCGTCGGGCTCTGTGCTGACTGCCAGCTCTGAGCCTGGAGCCTGTTTCAGTCTGTGACTCACTCTCTCTCTGACCCTCCCCTGCTCACGCTGTCTCTCTCTCTCTCTTCTAGAAATAAATAAAACATTTAAAAAAAAATTTTTAAATTCACGAGTGCGATCACCGCACGCGGTCGGGCAAGAACACGTCCTTGTTTCTGGAAGGTACGCGTCAAAATGTTTAGGGTTGGTGTCGTCGTTTCTGCAAGCTGCACGACACTGAACTGCGGGCGGGGGCGGGGGAGAAGGGAGACGGGGAGGCCCGTGTGGAATGTCAAGTCCGGCAAAATCTCCAACCTACGGTGCGGCGCGTGGGCATTCATCACTGGTCTTGCACCTTTCGTTTTTCAGAATGAAAAAAAATGGGGGAAAAACACGTCTGTTACTCTGAAAGTTTAAAGAGGAACGTGCCACAAAGCAAACGTCTTTCCGCTGAGGGAATTGCAAAACGTAGCGTAGGGACCAACTTGGCCCTGGTGCCCCTTCTCCTTGCGCTCTGGACGTTTCTGAAAACTAATCGGCAGCCGTGGGCTTCATCACATCACCTTGTGGTCGTTATATTTAAAAGAAAAAAAAAAGCTGATTCTCTCAGGAGCCTTTTCTGCCTGATAAGTCAAGCACTGCTGTAATCAGTGCAAAGATGCAAGCAATCCAGTAGAGCCTTCTAGATGTTTTCCACACAGGATATTACAGGCACACGTGTGGG